TCTTGGGGCGGTAGCACCACCCTGGCGGCGTCTGCGGTTTACAAGCCAGACCACGGGGCGTCTCCCCAGGTGCGCCCCATCCGGCCGGCCTCGGACCGACTCTTAGGTCTACCCAGTCAAGGGCACGTCCGGCTCTTCACAGGCTGGGGAGCGCCGCAGCCCCCGAAGCCCCCAGGGCTCATCCCCAGGCCGGGCCGCGGAAGCCGCCCAACAGGTGCGAGAGCGGACAGTGCGGGCGTGTCCTCCTCCCCGCCCCGTACCTTCGAGGGGTGTTGAGGAGCCGCTGCTGCTCGTCTCCTTCCTCTTCATCCTCGTCGGTCTCGGAATCGGGGTTGCAGTAGCAGAAGGCCCCGCTGTTCCGCTTGCGCTTGTGACTGCCGGGACAGTAACAGAAGCCATGGCCGGGCGCGTCGCCACCAGTCTCCGGCCTCCGGGAGGAGCCCCCAGCCCCAGAAGCCGGCTCCTGCTGGGCTCGGGCTCGCCCTGGGTGGCGCAGCACCCGGCTGCTCAGCGAGCCCATGGGTCACGGCTCCCCGAGACGGCAGGGAGCGCACCTCAGGGAGCCCACCACAGACGGTCTCCCGCCATGGCCCGGCCACCACCGCCAGTCTCCACAGAGCCCGAGTTGCCTACACAGCCACTTTCTCACGCGCGGCCACGACCGTTGCAGTGGACACCACAGCCTCCATCCTCCGCCCCGGCCGCTGCGTCTGGCCGCCACTCACGCGAACCGCAGGACCTCACCCCCTAGCTTTTGCAACAAAGCGCGGAACGTAGGGCGCTTGCGCACGGCGAGCCTCCGGAAGGGGCGGGGAAAAGCGCGCGTACGGCACAGGTGGAGCCTGCGCAGAATGGGTTGAGGGCGGGAACCGGGCTGCGCGTGTGCTGTCCCCGGGGTACTCACGCTGAGCTTGGCTGATCTCTCCAACAATCCTGAGTTGGGAGCAGAACTGCCGTTTAGGTTTAGTTTGGACATCACTTTGTGTTAGCAAGACTGGCATTCTAGCTTATTCGTTCTTTCTGCAAAGATTCCCTAAACTCCAGATGTCTTCTGGGCCCTGTGACCGGCACGGGGCAAAAAAGACATTGCTGTTTGGGGGTCTTTTTTGGAGGAGCTCACCATGTGTGAGCTTGGCGTTGCAGAGTCCGACACGACTGAGCGACTGAACACCAACCATGTGCGAGGGTCACGCCCTGCTCAGGCTTTCCAAGAGAGGAGGACCTCGAATGTGGAGCTTTGCTAAGCCCTTGGGTTTTTGTGTATGTGTGTTTTATTTTTTAATGTTTTTTTTAAATCGAAGGATAATTGGTTTACAGAATTTTGTTGTTTTCTGCCAAATATCAACATGAATCAACCATCGGTATGCATATGTCCCTTCCCAGCCCTTGGATTTGTTAAGGGTCACCTCTCGCCTGCTCTTAACTGGTTACGGCGAGTCATTCCCAGGACTCTTTTCCTTCCCTCCCAGCGGCAGTGGGATGTCTGAATAGGCTTCATACCGGGCCTGTCAAGGTTTAAAGTGCCTTCTGGAGGTCCAAGCAAAACTTACAGGTGCTGAGCAAAAATTAAAGTTGTATACGTGGAGTATGCAGCCATTGCTATGGACCCTGGGCAGTCAGCTTCCACTCTGATTACCTTCTGCTAGTTTTTAAATGAAATGTTTATGACAGTGAAAGTGAAAGTCGCTCCGTTGTGACTCTTCGAGACCCCCTTGGAATTCTCCAGGCCAGAATACTGGAGCGGGTATCCTTTCCCTTCTCCAGTGGATCTTCTCAACCCAGGGATCAAACCCAGGTCTCTAGCATTGCAGGCAAATTCTTTACTGGCTGAGCCACAAGGGAAGCCCTTATAATGACAGTATTTATAATGAAATATAAATGGAATACTTGAAATGAATTACTCTAATATGATAAATACCTATGGACTCACAACAAATATAACTTAAATTTTAGTAAAAACTTCAGTATATTATACTAGCTTTGATTCATTCAAGTAGAACAATACAGATAGGCAGAAACTCCCTTCCCTCTACACTATCCTCAGAATGGTTAGATCATTATTCCCATGCATGTTTTTATATGTGTACCCATAGCAACATATTTTCTTTTGCGTGTTTAGACATGTAATTAAATGGAATCATTCATACCTATCATTCTGCACCTTTCTTCTCTCTCAAAATTATACTTTTGAGACTTAATCAGTTGACAAACCTCTAGTTAAATTTTCACTACTCATTTTGTAACTAACCCAAAATTTATCTTTTCCTTCACTGAGGGAGTTAGGTTGTTTCTACTTTAATGTACATAAGAGCAGCAGTGACTACCATGTGCAGAGATTCACTAAATAGATCCCCAGAAGTGTTTGCTGGGAACTTTATATAACTTTATTATCTATTGCCAAATTACTCTCTGAAATGATTGCACTAGTTTATACTCCCATCAGTGGTATATGTAACTTAGGGTCCCAGTGTACTCACTCAGAAATATGAACTGAGAGAGGCTGGCTGAGGTAGCTTGGAAGGGAAGTGGGGAGGGGAGGAGCAGATCCCCTGCTGCACCGCCAGAATACTTTTTGTCAGCACAAAAGGATACACATGGAACAGTTGTGAGCCACTATAAGACAGCAAGCATGGGATCGTCTTAGATCCTGTCTAAAAGGACTGGGTGGCGTGACAGACTTTGGCACAGAGCCTGAGTTTCTAGGGGCTGAAAAAAGGAGAACTGCATTTGCTTGTGAAAGGAACCAAAGATGAGTAGTTTACTGATGATGGACTTGTAAAGGAACGCAGGATTGTCTTTAAGAATTAGCCTTTAAACATCTGATAGCATCACACAACACTGATCATCTACCATTGCAGCACTAGCAGGTAAAAAGTTTCCTGTTCCCCTTTACTCTTCTTCCTGCTAGGTTGGGGAGGGGAGGTTTAGAAGGAAGCCAAGGTGAAAAAAGAAGCCTACTGTCTCCAAATGCCAGCTTCCTGCTGGCAATAAACCAGAGCTGAACAAGGGGAGAAGCCTCAGCTGTAAATGAAGTTTGGAATTTTAACTGAAAACATTCATTACTGAAATGACATTTTATGACCTGCACAGTAGGACTTTTTAAAACCTAAGAATGACCAGAAAAGTCACAACCTTATCCTCTATCTAGAATTTTCATCTAAAGACAGGAGAAGAACTAGACCCAATGAATAAATGTAAATGGATAGTGGGAGAAAAAAACTAAGTTGTTTCCTAAGTATATTACAAAGTCGTGCTTATTCAACTTAACAATCATTCCCTCCAGGGTGGCTTTACCGCCTCTCTAGAAAGCTTCTCATCAACATATACAATTTGTTTTAAAATTTTGGCTAAGGCATATATTGGGTTGGCCAAAAGTCCATTCAAGTATTTCTGTAACATCTTATGGAAAAACCTGAATGGACTCTTTTGGTCAACCAATGTAATTTAAACATAAAATCACCAAAAATTTGGAGTGCTTCCAAAGCTAAATAAAGTTGACCTGGAGATTGCATGCTTTTCTAGGTAGGTATTGAAGCAGCAGTACTATTTCCTACAATTAACTGCAATGACTAAATATTCATGTAAATAGCTTTCACCAATAGTCAAGCACTTGCAGTAGGCAAGAAGAAACAAATCCCTATATTTCACCCATCAAAATACAACAAATATTACAGAATGAACAAAGAAGACAAATATTTTTATTTAATATGAATGGTCTACTTAGTAGAACTGAGAGCATCACTCATTTCCAGAGATAAATTAAATATACTATTTTCTATCATTAAGTAGAGTTTGGTATATGTGAACATTAATTTTACAGCTGTAAGGGTAAATATGTTATTTTCCTTAATGCTGTACTTTCTAATAGAAATTGAGTAATATAAATCCTTCAAAAAGATCTCACTTCAGAATCCAGGATGAAAAAACTCACAAGCAGAAAAGTCAATCAGGGAAAGCATATACTTCATTTGAAAGGCACCATATTTTATTGGAATTATTTTTCTGTGTTGTATGCAAACTGAACTTTTAAATTAAATCCAAGTACACCTTTACAATAATTCTAGAGTTGAAAGGCACAGTGCAAGTCAACAAAATGCAACTATTCAAATCAACAAAATTAAAAATGATTTTAAAAATTATTTTTAGCACAAAAATTTGTAAATTCAGAGCACTACACCATCACCAGAATATGTAGTTTGACACTTAATTTTTTCACATTTATCTTCAAGCTGGCTTTAAGACCATTATTATTATTATATTATTATTATTATTATTAAGCCTAATATTGTGGAATGTCCAGCATTTATGTTTGGTAGTCAGACATATATGATCTGTATAACCACACAGAGTTGAATTTATTCAGACAAGTCAGTGAGTTTGTTATACTTCAACCTGGAGAGTCTAACTGACCTTAATGTAAGATGTGATGGAGGGAGTCTCCAATGCTGAACTTAGTACTAAGATCAACTAGCACTTTAGATGAAAACCTAAACAAAGCAGATGTGTAGATGCTTTCAAACAACGACTGTAAAATAGCAAACTGGATAGATATTCTTACTAACTAGATGCTGACAATTTCAAATCAAGAAATTACTAGCCACTCTAACAATAGAATGAGGGAATAAAAGAGGTTTTAGAACATTCTTCTGGTCTTCCACTTCAATAGTTTTCACCAAAAAGAAAATACGAAATAATGTAATATATCCCAATTTCTGTGAAACTAAAACAGGAAGAGATCTGTTGAAAACATGGAGCACATTCTTATTTCTAATTTGAAATCTCCTTTTAGGTTTTATGAGCTTTGAAATGCAAGTACAGCTTTAAAGCATCATAGTGGGTAATTATAGATGAATAATAATACAGGCTATATCCTAGGAGGCATCTGTAGGCGTTTTAATTGGAAATAAGCATTCTGAGATAATGCTAATAGCACTGTAGAAAAATTAAGTTAAAAAGAATTCAAAGTGTAGGGAATCTTCCTGTGCTTTCTGGATTTTATTTTAATCATCTCCTCCACAGAGAATGAGCAGCACCTTCCTGTAGTCTCCGGATGTGTCACCCTGGTGGTGGAGGGGGCAAGAAAAGCAGAGTTCAGTCAGAGAAACGGGCTTCAAAATAGAATATACAGCTCAAAGTCACCTAGGTTACCTTTTCCAATCTTGCCTGGATTTTTCTAGGAGAAGTGTTTTTTGTTTTGTTTTTTTATTTTTAAATGACATTTGTTATTTTTTATTACAAAAAGAACACTTGTTCAATGTAGAAAATAAAGATATAAAAGAATATAAAGATCATCCATAATTCCAACATCTAGAGATTACTATGCCTAATATTTTGGTTTTTGTATATCCTTCCTGACTTTTTTCTATGCATACAGATTCCTACATGATGAGATTGTAGTATTCGTCTGTATTCTGCTTTTTACTTAATATTGCTGATCTCCTATTATTAAATATTCCTCCATAACATCATTCCTTAATGGTTACAGAGTATTCCATTTTACATAGGTAAAATAATTTATTTGATCTCCCCCCATTGGATATTTATGTTCTTTCCAATTTTTCACTATTAAAAACACTGCTGTAATAAACATACATTTTTGTGCATTTTCTTAATGATTTATTCAGAATAAATTTTCATAAAATGGGAATTGCCAGATTAATGATCATGCATTTTCTTTTAATATGGTTTGCAAAACAGCCTTCTAGAAAGAAGAAATAATTTTTATGTAGAATTTTTCATGGTCTAAATAATAGATCAGTTTTTGTTAGTGCTTCATGGGTGACTAGAAAAGATGGAATTGGATTCAAAGTTTAATGTATATTATTCAAATCAACCTTAATACACTCTTGTTGATACTTTGCCTCATTGATCTGTCAAAAGATAAGGATGTGTTAAACATATCCAGCAAAGTATCCCCATCAACATTCTTCTGAAGTCTCAAGTTTCTTATTTGTATATTTGAATGCAATACTGTTTGGCACCTAAAGTTTCATGGTAATTTAATCTTGGTTGTAACATGTAGCTTTTATCAAAATACAGTGATCCGCTTTTTCTCTGTTTAATGCTTTTCCCCCTTAAATTCTCTTTTTTTTCTTTCTGGCCATGCTGCACAACATGTGGGATCCTAACTAGGGACTGAACTTGTGCCCCTTGCATCGGGAGCCGAGAGTCTTAACCACTGGACTGCCAGGGAAGTCCTGAATTCTTCTTTTTACTTATAGTATAACCCCTGCTTTCCTTTTATTTGTCTAATGTTCTTTTCCCTGGCTTTTTCTTTTAAAGCTTCTTACATATCACTGTATTTCAGTTGTTCTTTATAAACAGTATGCAGTAGGATTTTGTATTTTTACCTAATCTGGGAGTTTATTTATTATCATAACTTATGTTTCTAACCTCACTTCTGTCTTTTTTCTATTTACATATTTTCTATTTCTATCCTGCTCCTTTTGGCAATTGTTATTGAATGGGCCATGTAGTCTTTATTTTTAGACTTTCCAGTGTTGTATGATATGAGTGTGTGTAAACACATATATTTGCATATTTATACATATACAAACACATAATGTAAATATATTTGTTAAGCTGTTTCCCCAAGTCAATATTTTTTACCCCATCATTTTAGGGTCTGTGTAGTATTCCATTGTATAGATTTTCCATAATTTGAGTCATCCCCTATTGGTTAATAAAAATGAAAATAATATGTAATAAACTCTGTAACCACTAAGTTAAGAATTTCCTGTTCCCCTCTTTCTCGCCCCTTATAACCTCTAGTGTACTTTTGGTCTCTATGAATTTACCTAGTCTAAATATTTCATGTAAGTAGAATCATATACAGTATTTGTCCTTTTGTGTCTGGTTTATTTCACTTAGCATGTTTCCAGAGTTCATCCATGTATCAGAAACTTCATTCATTTTATGTATGTATCTACCACACTGTAAACATTCATCTGTTAATGGACCCTTAGGTTGTTTTCATTTTTTGGTTATTATGAATAATGTTTACATTGGTGTACAACCTCGTTTTTATTTCTTTTGAGTATATACTTGGGAGTGGAATTGCTGGGTCATGTGGTAATTCTATGTTTAATTACTTGAGGAAGTACCAAACTGTTTTCCACAGTGGCTGCACCATTTTACATTCACACCAGCAATACACAAGGTTCCAATTTGTCCATGTTGTCACCAACATTTGTTATTTTCCATTTTTGTTTTAATTTTAGCCATCTTAGTAAGTATGAAGATAGTCAAACCCTCTGTGATTTTTTAATTGGATTGTTTGTCTCTTTGCTATTGAGCTGTAGGAGTTCTTTATACATTCTGGATAGTAAACTCTTACTAGATATGATTTGTAAATATTTTCTCCCACTCTGTGCATTAGTGCACCTTTACCTTATTATTTCCCCTAAAGAAATTCCTAAACACTGACAATAGCTACATAAGAGGTATAGTTTATTTTTTAAACATTTATTGCCAAATTGCCTCCTAGGAAAGTTAGACTAGTTTACAGTGCTTCTGTAATAGCTGGTGAGTCTTCCCCAAGCCTTTCTCAATGCTGGTTATGAGCTCTTTAAACTTTGTTAAGGTATTTAGTGAAAAATGATGATCCATTCTTATTTGTAATCTATTATGTATTAGTGAAATTAAACATTGTCCATATTTAGTGTCCATTTTGTGTTTCATCTTTCATTGAGTTCATGTTTTCTTTTTGTCCAGGTTTTCCTTTTGGATTTTTTCCCCCTTTTTCTTAGTGATTTGTACAAGCTCTTCAGATAGGGATATTAACCCTATATTACATGTTACAAATATTTTCCCATAGCTTCATTTACAGTCATCCTTGAATCTTAAAATTGTTTTACTTACAGCTAGTTATATTTCAGCACTGCAAAATAATATGACCTCACAGATTGTACAGAAATAGAAACAACTTTCTGAATGCCTTGTAGACATAGTTACAGACTCTGCAGTTCAAATCACCCAGTAGCTACACCTCTCCAAGCTATGAGTAGGATTCAGAATATTTAATTCACAGATCAAATCCTGACTTGACATTTACTGTGCTGGGAACACCAGCTTCTAGGGACATAAGTCTTGGTTTCATATCCTTGGCTTCATATTTCATGTTCCTTCTGGTTTCCTCAAAGAGCAAAATTGCAGTAATGAGGGGTTTTGAGCAATGTCAATCATTTCTCATTACTCCCCATGCCATGTTAGGACGGGAAGTCTGGTGCCAGGTAAAGAACAGCAATCGAGGACAACTGTCGTGTTTTCCCTTATTTTCAGCAGACCTCAGCTGGCCCAGGATGGGGTTCTGGATGACTGATTCAATAGCTTACCTTTTATTGTAAGCAGGTAGAAATGGAAATTGTGCTCTTAAAACCATTCATTAAAATATAATCTTTCTCTGTCTGGGATCCACATGAAATAATTACTATATTTAGAAGGCAAATATTTTCAACTTCTAACCAGGCAGAGATTTAAACATCCATGTGAAAGGAGACAGACTGGAAATATTTGAGAGTACCACTTTAAAGGGAAGGATATCTGACAAGAAGGAGATGATAGGAAGTGTCTAAATACCTAGGTCAGAACCTGCTCCTTTCATTAGCGTTTTCCCCTGGCTCCCATGACCCACCTTGATGAAGGAGTATAGAGACTTTCCATAGAGTCTCTTGAAGTTTGCCCGGATGTCCAACATATCAATCTCCGCTCGAGAAACCATCACTCTGATAAGGGTGTCATCATCGGTGCCCAAGCCCTAAGGAAGAAACCAGATCCCTGCATAGAGAGCTGAGCTGGTTTTCAGACAGGGCCCTTCGTTAGGCTATCAAGGCAAGACTATGTATCAGTCTTCCATTGACATCCTTTGGACTACAACCTTAGGGGCCTGTGGAATATCACTCCTCCTCACAGAGCTCAAGGCTTTCTCCAACTTATCTTTCCAACCCTCTGTGTGCTGACCAGAGGAGACCACCCTCTGCCCTTCTAGAGACATACCTGTGTTCTCCAGCCTGCCTGCCTCACCTACAGTGATCCACCCACCTTCCCTTCACAGCTTCACCATCCTTCCTACCATGTAAAATCCTCTGATATAAAACTTCCTTTAAGGTTCTGCTTAAATATACCAGTTTCTTATAAATTCGTTTTTGATTCTCACCCCCAAACAAGCGTTTTTTAAAATACCCTTTCCTTTGTGTCCTTATGATATTTGGATCTTCAGTGACTGTCTTATATTCTGTTTTGTTCTTATGGTGTTTTGCACATACCTGCCTTCCTCTCTAGAAGTCCTGCCTTCCTGTCAAGGCTAGCAGTTCTCTGAGAGCAAGGACAGATTTTGATCTCTCTTGCCCCTCAGCAAGAGTGCTTGCACAGAGTACCATTCATGGTTAGGAGCTGGGGCTCTGAAGCCCGTCTGCCAGTGTTGGCATTCCTGCTCCATTAGGACCCTGAGCAAATTTCTTAGCCTCTTTATGCCTCAGTTTTCTCAACTATAAAATGGAAGTTGGTAATGGTACTTGCCCCACAGAGCTGTTGTGGGGATAAAATCATACATATAAAGCATTAGGAAGAGTGATCACACATTATATAAGTACTCAATACATATTATCTAGCATTATTATTAGCAAGCACTCGGTGAAGTATTTGAAGAATTGAACTGAATAGCTCAAGCTGATTTTGGCTACTTTGTGTGGGGTATGTAAATAAGCATATGAAGGTGGACATATAAGACCCTCAGAGTCATTCAGACGCCAACAACGAGGCCATTTACCTTCATGGATTTATAAAGCCTTTCAGCAAAATATGCAGATTTGTTCCTCATGCACTTTACTGTCAAGAGATTAAAAAAAGAAATGAAAAACTTACAGATAAAATCTACGAGAAAAAAGTGACAGTTGTTCCCATTGTTTCTACAAGGTCTGAAATAGTATCTCTTGATTGTTTTGTTGGAAAAATGTAGCCAACAATGTTTATGAGCATAGGCTATGCTAAATGCATTTTCACAGGTGGAAAGTACCCTCAATTTATTGTCAAGTTCCTGAAGAGATACTTAATAAAGGCCATTAAAGCAAAGGCACCAAAAAATTTCAAACAGATTATTGTTATCTGTACCATATGAAATAGTTATTAGTTCTAACCATTCACAGACTTGCAAGAAGCAGCTAGTATAGGATTAACCTTCCCATGTACTGAGATATAAAGGCACGAAGGATATAAAAATATATAAAGCCACATGGTACAATAACAATCAGGCTGTATATAGTATTTCTCACTTAAAATTCTGGTTCGCACATCATGAGTGCTTTTAAAAAATTTTTATCCCTGAAAAAAAATTTCTACAACCCATGATGACAAATTGAGAACAAGAAGGAAAGCCTGTGAAGATTTGTTTCTCCACTCCCCACTCCCTACCAGCTTACCTATGGCCAGCAAAGCATCTTCAAAGTTGCCAGATGTTTTAGATTTAATACTCTGCTCAATATCCTTTTGTGCTATCCTTTTGTATTCATCAAACACTACAAACAATAACAAAATGAAATTATAAAAAATAAAAAAAAGAACAGAGGAAACGAAAATGTTTAAGAGAACGAGCATTTTTAACTAGACTATACTGGTTATTCTCCAGCATTTTTCAAGAGGAAACTAGTTAGCAATGTGGGTGAGAACCAGGGTGCCTATGACAAGTGGAATGGGCCAGAAATGTGGAAGGAATGTTGTGAATCTTGGAAGATGTAAGGCAAGTCATTTTCCTTCTGTGGGACTCTGTTTTCACCACATAAAGTGGAGATTACCTCTGGAGAGATACACTTTCTTAGCAGAATGTGTCTCTTCTTTAATTTTTGCCTTGGTAATCACCTGTATATTCATCTTCCTTTCAGCTCATCAAAACTAGAGCAATTCCTATTTACAATACAATAGTCAAGACATGGAAGCACCTAAATGTTCATCAACAAGTGAATGGATAAAGAAGATGTGATATATATAAATACACACACACACACACACACACACACACACAATAGAATATTACTCAGCCATCAAAAAGAATGAAATAATGCCATTTGCAGCAACATGGATGGACATAGAGATTATCATACTAAGTGAAGTCAGAGAAAAACAAATATTATATGATATCACTTATAAGTGGAATCTAACAAAATGATACAAATAAACTTATTTATACAATAGGTGCAGATTCAAACATATAGAAAGCAAACTTACGGTTACTAAAAGGGAAAATGTGGGGGAGGGAAAAATTAGGAGTTTTGGATTATCGGATAAAAACTACTATATATAAAATAGATAAACAACAATATCCTACTGTAGAGCACAGGGAACTATATTTGGTATCTTGTAATAACCTATAAAGGAAAAGAATCTGAACAAGAATATATATATGTATACACATACACATAACTGAATCACTGCTGTATAGTGGAAAGTAACACAACATTGTAAATCAACTATATTTTTTCAACAAACTAGAGCAATTCAACTTTATCTAAACTTAGTCACATTTGATAATATCTGGTTGCATCTTTTAATAGACTTTAACATAACTAAAAATTCTCTCCTTAACAAATATTTTTAAATGTTAAGGATCTTCCCATGTGTCTCAGTGGTGAAGAATCCACCTACCAATGCATGAGACGTGGGTTCAATCCCTGAGTAGGGAAGATTCCCTGGAGGAGGAAATGGCAACCCACTCCAGTATTCTTGCCAGGAAAATCCCATGGATGGAGGGGCCTGGTGGACTGCAGTCCATGGGGTTGCAAAGAGCCAGACACAACTGAGCAATGAAGCGCGCACACACACTTTAAAATGTTATGTACATATTTTCCTCTCTTGCTGCCTCCTCCAGAGCCTACTTAGGGTGTGTATCTGTTTTATCTTCTTAACACTGCTTTCTTTGGAATGCTATCCCACAACCCCATCAGTCATTCTCACAGGACTGTCAAACCAGGGACACTCCTTTCACTGAACATATATCATAAGCTCTAACAACTGAGTGAGCAGTTCATTCAGCTAGGACCAATCAGCCTTACTCTCCTGGATATTTTTTGACTGAGCAGACCACGAGGATGGCTAAAAGCACAGTAATTTTTTTTTTAATGGTAATATATAATTTATTTTATTTTTATTTTATTTTTTATTTATTTATTTATTTATTTATTTTTATCACAACCATAGTGTATCTTTTTTTTTTTTTTTTTACATGTATTCCCCATCCCGGTGCCCCCTCCCACCTCCCTCTCCACCCGATCCCTCTGGGTCTTCCCAGTGCACCAGGCCCGAGCACTTGTCTCATGCACCCAACCTGGGCTGGTGAACTGTTTCACCCTAGATAATATACGTGTTTCAATAAAAGCACAGTAATTTTTAACCTCAGAGAATGTAAGCATCACCTGGGAAACCCGTTAAACTACTTGGGTGTCACTCTCAGAAATCCTAAACCAGCCTATCTGAGGTAGATAGGTAGAGGTTCAAGCATCAGCATTTTAATTTTATTTTTACTTATTTCTGGCTGTCCTGGGTTTTGGTTGCTGCACCTGGGCTTTCTCTAGTTGCAGTGAGGGGGAGTTATTCTCTAGCTGCAGGGCTCGGACTTCTCACTGCGGTGGCTTTTCCTGCTGCGGGGAGCACAGGATCTAGGGTGTGCCAGCTCAGCAGTTGTGACACACGGGCTGAGCTGCTCTATGGTATGTGGAAACTTCCCAGACCAGGGATGGAACCCATGTCCCCTGCATTGGTAGGTGGATTCGTGGACCACCAGGGAAATCCAAGAATCAGCATTTTTAATGAAAACCCGATTTTCGAAAACTCTGCCTTAGAAATAAATCCATGACTCCCTTCTACTGAGATTTCCCAGAACTGCCTTGATTTCTAGTCTTTTTAGAGCTGTTCAGCTCTCTTCAGTACAGTAGACTGCTAGCATTTTCCATTTCTTTTTTATCCCATTCTATATTGTCTCCTCTTTTCCTATGTAATTATTTAATGTGTATCACTTGGAATTAAAAAATCCAGTTGACACATTTTCTAAACCTCAGTTTTCTCTACTCTAAAATGGGGAAAAGAAGAGAAGTGAAAGGCAAAAGAGAAAAGGAAAGATATATCCATCTGAATGCAGAGTTGCAAAGAACATCAAGGAGAGATAAGAGAGCCTTCCTCAGTGATCAATGCAAAGAAATAGAGGAAAAGAATAGAATGGGAAAGAATAGAGATCTCTTCAAGAAAATTAGAGATACTAACAGAACATTTCTTGCAAAGATAGGCACAATAAAGGACAGAAATGGCATGGACCTAACAGAAGCAGAAGATATTAAGAAGAGGTGGCAAAGAATACACAGAACTATACAAAAAAGATCTTCATGACCCAGATAATCACGATGGTGTGATCAATCACCTAGAGCCAAACATCCTGGAAAGTGAAATCAAGTGGGCCTTAGAAAGCATCACTCTGAACAAAGCTAGACGAGGTGATGGAATTCCAGTTGAGCTATTTCAAATCCTAAAAGATGATGCTGCACTCAAGATGATGTTGCACTCAATATGTCAGCAAATTGGGAAAACTCAGTAGTGGCCACAGGACTGGAAAAGGTCAGTTTTCATTCCAATCCCAAAGAAAGGCAATGCCAAAGAATGATCAAAGTACTGCACAATTGTACTCATCTCATGCTAGCTTTCCTTGTGGCTCAGCTGGTAGAGAATCCACCTGCGATGCAGGAGACCTGGGTTCGATCATCCCTGGGTTGGGAAGATCCCCTGGAGAAGGAAAAGGCTACCCACTCCAGTATTCTGGCCTAGAGAATTACATGAACTGCATAATCCATGGGGTCGCAAAGAGTCGGACACGACTGAGTGACTTTCACTTTTCTTTCTTTCACATGCTAGCAAAGTAATGCTCAAAATTCCCCAAGCCAGGCTTCAACAGTACATGAAGCGTGAAATTCCAGATGTTCAAGCTGGATTTAGAAAAGGCAGAGGAACCAGAGATCAAATTGCCAACATCCGTTGGATCATCAAAAAAGCAAGAGAGTTCCAGAAAAACATCTATTTCTGCTTTATTGACTATCCCAAAGCCTTTGACTGTGTAGATCACAATAAACTGTGAAAAATTCTTAAAGAGATGGGAATACCAGGTCACCTGATCTGCCTCTTGAGAAATCTGTATGCAGGTCAGGAAGCAACAGTTAGAACTGGACACGGAACAACAGATTGGTTCCAAATAGGTAAAGGAGTACATCAAGGCCATATATTGTCATCCTGCTTATTTAACTTATATGCATAGTACATCATGAGAAATGCTGGGGTGCATGAAGCACAAGATGGAATCAAGATTGCCAGGAGAAATAGCAAGAACCTCAGATATGCAGATGACACCACACTTACGGCAGAAAGTGAAGAAGAACTAAAGAACCTCTTGATGAAAGTGAAAGAGGAGAGTGATAAAGTTGGCTTAAAGCTCAACATTCAGAAAACTAAGGTCATGGCAAATAGATGGGGAAACAGTGTTAACAGTGACAGACTTTATTTTTTTGGGCTCCAAAATCACTGCAGATGGTGACTGCAGCCATGAAATTAAAAGACGCTTGCTCCTTGGAAGAAAAGTTATGACCAACCTAGACAGCATATTAAAAAGCAGAGACGTCACTTTGCCAACAAATGTCTGTCTAGTCAAGGCTATGGTTTTTCCAGTAGTCATGTATGGATGTGAGAGTTGGACTATAAAGAAAGTTGAGCGCTGAAGAATTGATGCTTTTTAACTGTGGTGTTGGAGAAGACTCTTGAGAGTCCCTTGGACTGCAAGGAGATCCAACCAGTCCATCCTAAGGGAAATCAGTCCTGGATATTCATTGAAAAAACTGATGCTGAAGCTGAAAATCCAATATTTTGGCCATGTGATGCAAAGAACGGACTCATTGAAAAAGACCTTGATGCTGGGAAAGACTGAAGGCGGGAGGAGAAGGGGACGATGGATGATGGCATCACTGACCCAGTGGACATGAGTTTGAGTAAACTCCAGGAGTTGTTGATGGACAGGGAAGCCTGGTGTGCTGCAGTCCATGGGGTCGCAAAGAGTAGGACATGACTGAGCGACTGAACTGAACTGAAAATGGGGAAAATAATGTCCGCTTTCATTGTTATGTTGCAACAAACATTTATAATATACTAAGCACTGCACCTGGAAGATAGAGAATTAACAAAATTTTAGTTATTATGAATCCTCACTATTGTTGGTTGGTAAGAAAACTATGTTTGTTTAAATAATGCTTAAAAGATTTTCTTCCAGTGGCTTACAAGCACAAGTTACACTACTGACTTGTGCCTAGAAGCGAAAATTGTTAAAAATATATTAATACTTGCATTAAATCCACTTCTGAGGACATGCAGTTTCTGAAAAGTATCACCAGGGGGAGATGTGCTTTATTAATAATCAGGCAAGGGAAGGCAAAAAAATAGGGAGCTGAATCAGAAGTTGGTGCATCTGATGATGCTTGCGTGCTCAGTCGTGTCTGACTCTTTGCAACCCCATGGACTGTAGCATGCCTGGCTCCTCTGTCTGTGAAGATTCACTAGGCAAGAATACTGGAGTGGGTTGTCATTCCCTTCTCCAGAGCATCTTCCTGACCCAGGAATTGAACCTGGGTCTCCTACATTGGTGGGTGGATTCTTTCTGAGCCACCTGGGAAGCCCTGCATCTGATGATAGTTCATGACATTTAATAAGTGGAATAATCACTTACTGCCAGTGTGGAATACCTGAAATAATTGCAACTTTCAAATATACTGTAATTTTCAATTATTTTTTAAAGTTTTCAATTTAGCAAACTCTTTCGCCTCAAATTTCTCACCAGTTTTGTAAACTGTGAGTGATTATAAGGGCATGGTGAGTTTATAAAATTAGGATATAGCATAAAGACCTAGAGAGCTTATATAAAACATGAAATATCTTACTAAACCTTTATCACTGTTTACAGGAAGAAAATAAACCAGACAACAAATATTCTACAACTGTATAGTGCCTTTTCCCCAAAGAACTCAAAAGTACATTACAAAGATGGGCATTATCAGAAGCAAAACAAACTTTACACATAGGAAATAAAATTGGAAATTATCCACTCTTCATCTTATGCAACAAACCCCCTAAAGAAATCACTTCTATTAGCTTTTACAACTTGGATGTTAAACAGGAATAAATGTCAACCAATATTTCTATTTTAATACTTGCTGATATACTAAAGATTTTGCCTTATATAACTAAATTTAAATAGAGCTACTTTAGGAAAAAAGATTGACGATGGAAGTGGGTGAAAGTGAAGTTGCTCAGTCATGTCCGACTCTCTGTGACCCTGTGGACTGTAGCCTACTAGGCTTCTTGGTCCATGGGATTTTCCAAGCAAGAGTACTGGAGTGGGATGCCATTTCCTTCTCCAGACCATGGAAGTGAGTTTCCTACAAACAGGAATGCCAAACCTCTATGAACATATCTGCTGCTGCTGCTGCTTTGTCGCTTCAGTTGTGTCCAATTCTGTGCAACCCCAAAGACGGCAGCCCACCAGGATCCCCCGTCCCTGGGATTCTCCAGGCAGGAATACTGGAGTGGGTTGCCATTTCCTTCTCCAGAACATATCTGCTAATTACTCATAATTAATCTTCCAGCAATTGACTCTCATGCATATCATTGCACTCAACAGTTCTCAAGCTAAGACATTTAAGACAGTTCAGTACAATTAGTAAAGTACTTTACACCAAGTAAAGGAAAAAAGGTTATCAGTTATGGGTAATATTTTCACTATCTTTCAAATAGTTTCTTTAGGAAAAAAAAAAGCAAGTGCCTTACCATGCAACAGATGATTTCGATTCCGAGAACAGAGAACAGTTAGAAATTTCACCTCATCTGTCCCCCATTTCTTCTCTCCAGCCTCATACAGGTCCTGAAGCCAAACAAAGCATGAGTTTAAAACACAACAGAGAAGGTGCCAGAACATCTGTAAATACTTCCAGAACTTCAAAGAGCGGGAGTTGGCTTAGTTTTGTTTTCCTGGTGACGGGGGTAGAAGTGGTGTTGGCAGTGAGTGGAAATGACTCAGGAGTTTTCCTTAGGTATAAGACTAATGGAACTCTATGATATCTCCGGGAGAGTCACAGCAAACATGCAGACCTCGTGGTTTGTCTTAAGAACCAAAAGGAATGCTTAGACTTGGGCTGTTGCATATGGTAGCCACTAACTACATGTGGCTATTTGATTAATTAACTACAGAAAATTTAAAATTCAGCCCCCCAGCCATACTAGCCACATGTCAAGTGCTCAATGGCCACATGTGGCTTAGTGGTCACCCATACTAGACTCAGAAGGTGTAGAACATTTTCAACATTAAAGAAAGGTCTATGGGACACCACCACTCTAGAATGACCTGTGATTTACTTCTCTCTAGTGGCACGTGGCTTCTCTCCCCACTATTTATAACCAGCAGCTGGCTTGTTAAATTTCTCAAAATACCCTTCACTGATACATTTTGTCACTCCTTGGGCTCACCTCCATCTACTCAGCTGTTTCTTCACTTCCCTCTCTACTGCCACATGATTAAAGAGTCAGTTCTCAGGACCATGGAATTGTACCATTTTACAGTTGATTTACAATGTTGTGTTAATTTCAGGTGTTTAGCAAAATGAATCAGTTATACATATATACACTCTTTTCTAGATTCTTTTTCCCATACAGAGGACTGTGGAATTTTATCTTTATTTATTTATTTATTTTGGACTGTGGAATTTTAAAGCTGGGAGGATACAAAAGGTTTATCTAATTCAGTGTTTCTCAAATCTGATTCTCAGCAGCCTTGTGAGTGCTTCAATCAATAAAGTACAATGGCGGTGACACTGATTTCTGAGGCTAGGTCATAAAGCTCAGGCAGCTTTGGTTCTCATGGAATGCTGGCTTTCTAGGTGGTCCCTCTTGAAAGGCAGCCACCATGCTCTGGGAAGCCCATGCCACATGAAGAGGCCACAGGTATGAGACCCTTTTGAAGCCTGAGGTGAGCCCCGTGTTCATAGCCCACCAGACACAAGTGATGGAGACTCCTACCCCCAGCCGTTTGAGCCACCTCTAGCTGTTCAAGTCTTCCCAGCTAAGACCTCTGACGTTAGAAGCTTGAGGGAGTTCTTACACAGCGATTGTAACTAGAACATGAGGGCAAACAAGGAACCTTCCATCTATCACAGAATGATACTTTTGTAAAATACCAGAAAAACTAACTTGAAAAGGGTAAAGTTTTAGGTATGGGTAGAAAACGGTATCTTTTTGTGTTAGTTTTTTAAATAACTAGTGAGGTTGGTCATTTTTTGGTGTATTTGCCATTTCTATTTTTTTTTTTTTTGAGTTGCCTGTTAATGTCCAATGTCTTTTTTTTTTTTTTAAAGAAATGGGGCATTCTTATTCAGAACAAATATGAGTAAGTTTCAATAACAGTATTGAAACAGTAGTTTACTTATATATTTTCATATTAAGCTTACTATACATAGGGTGAAATTTCTCCCCATTCTATCATTTGATCTTTAATTTTGTTTGTGGTATTGCTTGGTAAAACAATTCTTTCTTTTTAAAATTTAGCCAAACTACCAATCCTTTTCCTTTATGGTTTCTCTCTTAAAAGAAAATGCATACAAAATCCTTTTCCAGTTCCAGATTTAAAAAAGAATATTTAACTTTTTTATACTACCTTTATGGCTTACTTTATTTATGCTAAAAATTTCAATCTATTTGGAATTTATTATGCTGTCAGGTGAAAGTTGGGATCTAACTTAATTGTTTCTCAAACGGTTAGCCAATTTTTCCAACTCCACTGAGTAACCTGTGCTTTCTTCACTGACTTGAAATGCATATATTCTGTATATATTCCTGTATATTCTCACATAGGCTTGGTTCTGCTCTTAGACTTTCTAATTATTCCATTGACTTCTCCCTATCTTACACCAGGACCACATGCTTTAATTCATTTGTACATTTATTATACATTTAACTATATATTAGGGCAAGTCTGTCCATACCCTTCTTGTTGAGATTCTAATCCCCACTGTCTTTCCTCTATAGTCCTCATCTTATGTGATTGTTTTGTCTTTTTTTTCCCCTGAAAATTGGAGGTATTTTCAGCATTGCCTTCGACAACAATAATTGTTTTGTGCAGTGTCATTTCTGATCAGTGCTGCTTCTAATAAACATTTATTCTGTCTTTCCTTGTTTCATTTTAGAATATTTATTTATTTTTGACTGCATCGGGTCTTAGTGGTGACACACGGGCTCTAGAGGACAAGGGTCAATAGTTGCGGTGCTCGGGCTTAGTTGCCCCTCGGCATGAGGGATTTTAGTTTCCCACAGGGACTGAACCCGAGTCCCCAGCATTGGAAGGCAGATTCTTAACCGCTGGATCGCCAGGGAAGTCTCCTTTCCTTGTTTCTAAGAACACTTCCCCTCCGCTCATCTAGCCTTCTCTTTATCTCTGCTTGCCTTGATGCAGTTCCATTTTCAGCTCCATTATTTTCTCATTGCATTTTTTTTAAAGCTCTTGTTTAGGTGATTAAAACCTGTCATTCTCTTACGCATGTCAGGATCCAGAGCGAGCCGAAATCTGTCTCTTCCTTAAAGTGAGCCCCTGTTTGCCTCCCTTTGGGCCCCAGTTTCTTCATGGGTCACATAGGATTTGAGTTGAGATTAGTGGATGTTCATGATCTTTGATCTTGAAATGATAAACAGTTTATCCAGACCTGGTTTTCTCCACACAGCACGGTGCAATGGATTCTTCTTTGAGCTCCTCACTTTTCATCTGGATGAATTTCAATCAGGAGGACTTGCTGCAGGTCCAGTGGAGGCGGCTGAGACACAGCCCAAGTCTTCCCTGAGGAGTTTCTCCATTTGCAGGAAGCCACTCTATTTCCATCGGGGGCAGAGTGTGTGTGTGTGTGTGTGTGTGTGTGTGTGTGTGTACTTCTTTTCGGGGGCAGAGTGTGTGTGTGTGTGTGTGTGTGTGTGTGTGTATACTTCTTTTCGGGGGCAGAGTGTGTGTGTGTGTGTGTACTTCTTTTCGGGGGCAGAGTGTGTGTGTGTGTGTGTGTGTACTTCTTTTCGGGGGCAGAGTGTGTGTGTGTGTGTGTGTGTGTGTGTGTACTTCTTTTCGGGGGCAGAGTGTGTGTGTGTGTGTGTGTGTGTGTGTACTTCTTTTCGGGGGCAGAGTGTGTGTGTGTGTGTGTGTGTGTGTGTGTGTGTGTGTATACTTCTTTTCGGGGGCAGAGTGTGTGTGTGTGTGTGTACTTCTTTTCGGGGGCAGTGTGTGTGTGTGTGTGTGTGTGAACTTCTTTTCTGGGGCAGCAATGACTCTCCGGCATCCTTGGCCCAGCTTTGCTGCCCATCTGGCACGGTTTCCAGTTTTGATGCAGATTTTTCTCTATTTTTGTATTTCCCGGTTTGTTTTTCAAAGGGAATCAAATATGTGCCATATTCTAACAAAAGCTCTGAAGGGCATTTTCAATGTGCTTTTAATACATTATGAATTTCTTTTTCAAGTAGGAATTCTGAACACTACCTGTTATTTCCTTGGGTGCAGTTTTCATCTCAAGAATAGATAAAATTGGACATTTAGCTTCTCTATATTTTAAATTTTCTACCTTTGATAATAAATTACTACCTAATTTCCTCTGTCCTGATAATTCTTTTCATCACAAACTAATTTACTTGCCTCAAAATCCAGTTCCATAATACCCAAAGTCTGCAAATGGCCCTTTGCTGATGCACCTTTAAGAACAAAGGCTGACCAGATTTTCCTCTTGTTTTATTTTGGAAGAAGAGTGGAAACCTTGGAGAGTGGTTCTTAAATTTTTTGTTTCTTTGTAAGACTTGTAGGATACAGAAAAATGAGTTCTAGTCCTTCCAGCTTCCCCCAGCCCATATTTGTTGTTAAGCACCTTTTCACCTGGTCACTTACAAGGAGAACTATGCTCCTTGAAGGACTCCCAAATATTTGTTAAATTGCATGGTTTTGTTGTGTTTTTTAAAAATTAGGTACAATTGACATATAACATTATGTTAACTTCAGGTGCAGAACATAATGATTTGTTATTTGTATACACTGTGAAATGACCCCTCCCACAATGAGTCTAGTTACCATCTGGCACCATATATAATTATAAAGTATTTTTTCTTATGATAAGGACTCTTAAGATCTATTCTCTTTGGAACTTTCAAGTATGCAATATAGCATTATTGTTTTTTAACACAATTTTATTTATTTACTTTTGGCAGCACTGTGCAGCATGCAGGATCTTAGCTCCCTGACCAGGGATCAAACTTGTGCCTGCTGCAGTGAAAGTAGTCTTAACCACTGGGCTGCCAGGGAAGTCCCTAGTATTATTAACTGTAGTTACTATGCTGTACATTACACCTTCATGACTTATTTATAACAGAGTCTGTACTTTTTGACCTCCTTCACCCATTTTGCCCACCTCCACCCCTGCCTCTGGCAACCACCAGTCTGCTCTCTGTATCTATAAGCTTGTTTTTTCCTTGGTTGTTGTTTGTTTGTTTCAATTCCACATATAAGTGAGATCATATAGTATTTGTGTTTCTCTTTCTGGCTTATTTCAGGTAGCATAAAGCCCTCTAGATCCATCCACATTTTTGCACATTTTAAGATTTCACTGTTTTTATGGCTAGAGAGCATTCTTCTATTCATATATATGACAATTTCTTTCATTCATCTATTGATGGTACTTAGGTTGCTTCTATTTCTTGGCTATTGTAAATAATAGTTCTGTGAATAAGAGGGTACATATGTCTTTTTGAGTTAGTGTTTTCATTTTTGAGGGGCAGATAGCAGAAGTGAAATTGCTGGATCATGAAGTAGTTCTATTTTTATTTTGTTTGAGGAAACTCCATACTGTTTTCCATAGTGGCTGTACCAATTTACATTCCCACCAACAGTGAATGAAGATTGCCTATTCTTCACGTCCTTGCAAACACTTGCTGTTTATTGTGTTTTTGATGACAGCCATTCTGACAGGAGTGAAGTGATATCTCATTGTGGTTTTGACTTGCATTTCTCTGATTACTAGTGATGCTGAGCATCATTTCATGTGTCTGTTGGACATCTGGATGTCTTTGGAAAAATGTCTATTCAGATCTGCCCATTTTAAAACTGCATTGTTTGGTTACTTCTATTAAGTTGTACAGGTTCTTTTTATATTTTAGATATTGACTTTTTATCAGATATGTGATTTGCAAATATTTTCTCTCATTGAATAGGTTGCCTTTTCATTTTGTTGATGCTTGCTTTTGCTGTGCAGAAGCTTTTTAGTTTGATACCATCCTACTTGTTTATTTTTACTTTTGTTGCTTTAGCTTTCAGCGTCAGATTAAAAAAATCATTGCTAAGACCCATATAAGGCAGCTTATCACATATGTTTTCTTCTAGGAACTTTATGGTTTCAGGTCTTACTTTGAAGTCATTAATTCATTTTGAGTGAATTGTTTGTTATGTATGGAGTAAGGTAGTTGGTTCTGGTTCATTCTTTTGCTTAGGGCTATTCAGTTTTCCCAACAAAATTTATTGAAAAGACTATCTTTTGCCCATTGTATATTCTTGGCTCCTTTTTCATAAGTTAATTGACCATACATGTGTAGGTTTATTTCTCAGATTTCTCTTCTATTCCATTGATCTGTACATCTATTTTAATGCCAATACCATACTCTTGATTACTGTAGCTTTGTAATATGAATTGCATGGTTTTAAAAAATCATACAGACCTAGAGTCAAAGAGCCCAATTCCACCAGTTATGTAAACTTATACAAGTTATATAAACCTGAGAATCAGTCTCTTAGTCTATAAAACAGAAGTAGTATCTACTTCACAGATTTATTATAAGGAAAAAAATGTAAAGTAGTTAGCACAATGCCTAGCACCTGGCAAGCCCACAAAAAAAGTGACAGTGGATATAATGTTTCAGGAATAAATTGCTCACTAACTCTTCATTTAAATTCAGGATTCAGGATAAGAAAGTTGTGGTACATATAGACAATGGAGTATTACTCAGCCATTAAAAAGAATGTATTTGAATCAGTTCTAATGAGGTGGATGAAACTGGAGCCTATTCTACAGAGTAAAGTAAGTCAGAAAGAAAAACACCAATACAGTGTACTAACGCATATATATGGAATTCAGAAAGATGGTAAAGATGACCCTATATGCGAGACAGAAAAAGAGACACAGATGTAAAGAACAATCTTTTGGACTCTGTGGGAGAAGGCGAGGGTGGGATGCTCTGAGAGGATAGCACTGAAACATGTATATTATCATATGTGAAACAGATCGCCAGTCCAGGTTTGATGCATGAGACAGGGTGCTCAGGGCTGGTGCACTGGGATGACCCTGAGGGATGGGATGGGGAGGGAGGTGGGAGGAGGGTTCAGGATGGGCAACACATGTACACCCATGGCTGATTCATGTCAATGTATGGCAAAAACCACTACAATATTGTAAAGTAATTAGCCTCCAATTAAAATATATAAATTAATTTTAAAAACTAAATTCAGGATTCACCTGGGCTATGGAGGTTCCTTCCAGTATGCCCCAAATGTTCTCCTAGAGGTAGCTGAAATGCACATAAGCATCTGAGAGTTTTAATACCTTCTCCTTCCTCGAAGCTTCTGGATTGAAGGCAATTTCCTGTATCTCCTTATGGGATGGGCCTCCCTGAGTCTTCAGAACTCTTAGGATTTATATACTTCTTTCACTTCTAGTGAAAGAAAAAGGTTCTTTCCTACACAATCCTGAGTACTTCATTGTTGTTCAGTCGTTAAATTGTGTCTGACTCTTTGTGACCCCATGAAGTGTAGTGTGTCAGGCTCATCTCTTCTCCACTATCTCCTGGAGTTTGCTCAAATTCAGGTCCATTGAGTCAGTGATGTAATCTAACCATCTCATCCTCTGCTCCTCATCCTGAATGGGACAAATCTCTCTCTAAGGTCATATACTGGTTAACAAAGTCTAGATCCAAATTGCATAGGTTCAAATCCCGGTTCTGTCATTTATTATCTGTGGGAACTTGAGCAAGATATTGACTTCTCGGAGCCTCAATTTCCTTGTCCATAACATGGGAACAGCAATACTTAGTTCATAGGGTTATTATAAGGAACCAATGACATACTTCATATAAAGAGTTTAGAACAGTGTTTGGCCCCTGGTAAGGACAAAACCAGGTCCTTACTAGATTTTATTAGTTATTATTTTTAGTGTTCTCTGGTCACAGTGAAAACACCATTAGTTGGTTTCAGGGCAGCCATCAGTGGGCTGGATACCAGGGAAGCAACTGCCTCTTAGGGTTTGGTATTAGTTTTACCCATTTTACACAGGTTGTATTAAATGTTCTCTTTGGGGAAGTAAAAATGTGAGGTCAACAAAGCATAGGCAGGTCCCTTTATCACCTAGTGATTCAGAAGACGCTCTGTGATTCTGTGGGGGCAGCCACACCATGGTCCCAATGTTAGAAAATCTGGAACCCAGGGATGCTTACATACTGATGCCCCAAACCAGCCCCAAGCCTCAGGTATCTCTGCAAGAAACTCCTGCTATTAAAAGCACCTGTGGGGATCTTTTTTCATAACAAATCCCAGCCTGACCAATATTCATTGAAATATAAGAAGATGTCCACCAACTTGGCCTGTATCATCAGCAAAAGAGAAGAAAGAAGCTTCAGTTCTACTCACCTGGGCATCCTGTCTCACGAGAGCATCATCCAGATAGTTGCTTTCATCCCTGCCTCCCTGAGGATGAGAAAAACAAACCACAGAGACTGAGAGAGGATCCAAGAAGATCTGGGTGCCCTGTTAAGACAGAATGTCTGGGAACCCAAGGACAGGGTAATTAGACAGAAGTGGCATGAATGCAGCTTAGGGAGAAAGGACAGATGTCCTCAAGTGTGTTTACGTTACGTCCATGGCTCTGATCTGATCAAACAGAGGGTAAGCATGGTGTGGCTCCCTGATGTTGTGTGGGTGTCTCTGACAGTTGAAGGGGCAGGAGGACAAATATGGCCTGGTGAGTTCTCTTCCCAGGACCATAACCCCCTTTTTCCTCCCCTTCCTCCACTCCCATGTCTTCCCAGCTAGCTGACTTATGTCTCCCTAACTGGCAACTTTATGCTGATCAACACTGCCACATAGGAGCTGGGGAAAGAGGAGAATCAAGAGACTCTGGGGCCAACTGTGGGGGCCTGAGGAGCACCCCAAAGTGCCCTGTCCCTCACAACACAAGGAGGGCAGGACTGAAGGGTAGAGGAATGCCCAAGTGTGGCAAAATGGGCTACTTTTCTCTGGTTTGTTACACTATTTTAGCTCTAGGCTATTCCAACATGCTACAATCTAGGCATGGCTCTGCAGTGGTAAATCTGGGAGGAAAAGAAAAAATGGGTAGGAAGTAAGAAAAGCAGGCTGGTTGGGACTTCCTTGGTGGTCCAGTGGTTAAGAATCTGCCTTCCAAAGCAGGGGACTCAGGTTCGATCCCTGGTTGGGGAACTAAGGTCCCACATGCTGTGAAGCATCTAAGCTCGAGTGCCACAACTACTGAGCCTGTGTCCTCCAGGCCCCGTGCCACACCTAGGGAAGCCCACACACCGCAGCCAGAGAAGATGGCATGCTGCAACGAACAGCCCCACACCACAAAGAAGACCTGGCACAGCCAAAGCAAAAAAATAAAATAAAATGAAGAGAAAAGCAGGCTGGCATGATTACATAAACATCAGAGACACAGCAAAGTGGGAGTTGGAGATGCTTTCCAGGCTTCCGCTTTGGTTGTTGGAGAAACAGAAACAATAGTAATAGAACAAGATGAGGGAGGAAAAGAGTTGGTTTGGAGGCAAAATGAGTTCAAGTTTAGTTTAGGAGGACTGGGTGGACGGAGGGAGGTGATGGCAGAATATCCACAAGGGAACAGCAAAAAGGCAGTAAGAAATGAGAGTCTCACACTCTGGAAGGTCAGGCCTAAAGATAAAATTGTGAAGTGGTGTGAAATGCTTGTAAATCCATCTTTCTTTTCTGGCATCCCTGCCCCAACACTGGCCCAGACCTGCTTTTTTCATGATATCTGGAATACCAAGGTAACCTCCTGCCTGGGCTCCCCTCCTCCAGTTCAATTCATTGGACACACTGCTATCACATTACTCTTCTAAGACGTTCGAATCACATCACTCTACTGCTCCAAAACCTTCAGAGGCTCCCCACAGCTCTCCAAAAAAAAAGCACAAACTCTCCCCAACATGGGACCCCGGTTCATTTTCTGGCTCAGCCAACTGTTTCCTGAACCCGCTCTGTGTTTCCTGACTCCTTGTCTTGTCCTCACTGTTCTTCCTGCCTGGAATGTACCCACACACACCTGTGCCTCTTGAAATTCCAGCAACCCTCCTGGTCCTCTCTCAGCCAGCACCTCTGCCATGAAGCCTTTTCTTTGTTTCTGGAACCAAAATCTCTCCTTGAACCTTTCTTCTACTCTGTGCCTCTTTTTTGGCACATACTTTCATGCTTTTATTAGAGCAACACATGGGCCTGCTAGATCACCTTCTGACAATATAAATTCTTAAAGCCCAGGACTGCCTTTTAACCACATTCCTAACTTTCAATGAGTAACGATTGTCTGGCATATATTAAGTACTTGTATGTATAAATGAGAAAAAAATGGAGATGCAAGATTAGCTAGAGTCTTTAAAGGAGAGCATATAAAACAACAGAGAGGCTTCAGAAAAACACAGGGAAAAATTCCCATTTGGGAGGCTGAAAGGCTGAGAAAGGCTGGAAGAGCAGGTAGAGAGTGAACGTCTCAGTAAACCACCCCCCACCCCCATCAAAGGTGGGAGTGACTCACGGCGGACAGAGACACCAGCACGCGCTGGAACATGAACGACGTGTCAGAGCGAATGTCATCTTCAAGGCTCCGCCCATATTCTAGCAAGAGAGTCAAATTAGTGACATCAAAGTGAAGATCCCTGCCCAAACCCGGGTCACACCACAGAGTTTTCCATCCTCTCCTGGACCAGCATGATTACTGAAACAGCACATCGTAAGGTTCTTCAGCCCATACACAGCTGATGAAAAACTAAAGTCTTGGTAAAATGGTCAAGATAAGTTGATGGTTAGGGCAGAAGATAAACGATTAGAGCAGAAACAAGATGCTCTTGTTGCTTAAATTGGGGGTTGAGAAGGCGGGGCTGTGATCTCCTCTACTGTGGTTCCTACTGTCTAGGGACCTGTCCTGAATGTGGTTTGCAGTGACATGCAGAACAGGTTAAGCAGCACGAGGAAAGGCAAACCACGTGGAGGCTCTGAACCTGTGTTTGGGGACAAGCGGCGGGCTGTCCACAGGGAGAAGACCACAGGAGTCAGCGCTAGAACCAGACTCCCAGCTTTCGAATCTCCAGCTCTGAACCTCTACCAAAACACTCTTACTGTTTTGCTTTCTTTCTACCGAACTGTATGTTTATTACAGAAAACTTAGGAAAAACGAAATGAGTTAAATGAAGTGGTGGGGGGGAGGCAGCGAACAAAACCTCATCTAATCACCCAGAAATAATAATCATTGATCACATTTTGGTGAGTATCCTTCCTCATTTTCCCCACATGACATATTATTTTTGTTTCTGTAAGAAATGGGATCACAACATCTCATTTTATGATTTGTCTTTTTCCCTTATCCATATAACATACCACTCATTGTAATTTAATTATATCCTCCGATATACATTTTGATGATTATGTTGTATGGATGTGCCATATTTTGTTTAGCCACTCTGTTGGACATTTTAAGCTAATATAGATGACACTGTGGGATCTGAACCCTTGGACATTTTTTATTATATTCTTAGGTCAAAAAGGCATGCCTCTTTTAAAGGCTCCTCATACGTACTGTCCTCTGGAGATTTTTAAGAGAGGAGTATTGCCACTGAGCGACTGAACTGAACTGAACTGACTGCCACTGAAGGTGGTTGCAGGACCTACAGCCTAATCTGAAGGTAAGAAGTTGAGGAGACTGCTCTGCCAGGTCAGTCCCTGGAATGCTAAGATTCAGTGGTGCTGCCACATTTGAATAAACACCTTTGATTCTCTGCTTGATACTAAAGAACAGCTTTCCAGCTTTCAGGGTAATAAACACTTCATTGCATAGCCTAAGAAGAGTGGCAGGTACACCTGAGAAGTCTCGAAAAGCCAACAGTCATTTGGATCAACAGGGATCTGCCTGAGAGCGGAGCTTGTAGCTGAGGCTCCCTCGTGGTCAGTGTTTCAGTGGGTAACCTCCCACTTCCAGTCTAGTTCTCAGAGGACAGGGCCTCCACCAAGGCCTCTGAGGATGCTACATACGCAGCTGGTAGGTCTGGTTTATGCGCCGGATCTCCTCAGGCGTCCGGGAGGCCAGGATCTCAATCAAGCAGCCCTCATCCGTGCCAGCTCCCTAAATGTAAAAGCCAGAGGAGAGGGCGTTATGAGTCAGGTTACCAAGTTGAGTCCCAGACACAGGAGGAATACAACCAGAAGTCTGCAGAGAATAAAGGCAACTCACCTAGTTCCAGCAATAGGATTTGCTCATTTTTAACTTTCCTATCCAGATTCCAACATGTTTATTGGTCATAACAAACATTTCACGGGCTGTTTTTGGGTGTTGGTTAGGAGTAGCTTCCATCCTCTGCGGCTTTTGTCTTGCCTTGGTCTCCCCTGTACTCTTTCTTTGAAGGACAGAATCTTCTTCTGGCAAAGGCTGTTATCTCTGTTTCCCAGTGACTAGCCCAGAACCTTCCATGAGCCTGAGTGTTCACTGACGTGAGGGAGGAGGGTAGTCATAGCTGAATTTTGTACTTGGTCGCTAAAACTCGGCAGAGCCTGGCGTAGGGCACAGTGACTCCAGCATCCTGGAAGGCTGAGAACTCTTGACAGGTTCTGAGCTTACAGCAGACCAAGAGGCCCTCACAGTGTCAGTCAAAAGTTCCATTTCTCAAAAAAGGAGCTAATATGGCAATAAATTGTCTGGAGTTACACCACAAGCACAAGTATAACCACTCCCCAGTGGGCCACCGGGAAGAAAGAATTACTTCACTTTGGGGGAAACAACTTTGAAGTTACAGTTGCTAGATTGTAATGTCCTGTTTTCAAGTTGTCTTAAATGAAGGAAAATCCTTCCCCCATACCCTCCTCCTCCACGCTCTCAGGCCTCTGTCATGGCTTCTTGAGAAAGCCCGGCAGTGGTCCTCCTTTGCACCCCCAGCCCCAAGAGCAGGAGGAGAGGAGCACAAACCTTCATCGCCTTTTGCAGCTCCTGCACATCGTACAGCACCGTGGGCGTCATCATCCCCAGGATCACCTGCTCGAAGCTGCCACTCAGCTCTGACTTCAGGTCGTCCATCAGGTCCTGGGACACAAGGAAGTGCTCCGCCTAACTGCTCCAGTAACAGGAAGCAGCCGCCCTCGGTGAGGTCCAGGGATGGCTGAGATCTCCAAGACCCTCTCAGGGGGCTCACGTCCTCGAAACCCTCTTCATAAGAACACTAAGACGTTGGGATCTGACATTACACCCTCATCCCCTCCCAGCTGTCCCGTGGAGCTTTCCAAAGGCTGCTCAGCACGTCTACAGATCCACAGTTATGTGAAAAGGCTATGAAAATACTCCTCCCCTTCCCAACTGTACAAGACCAAGTTTTCTTCCTACTGTAACCAACACCAGGTATCGCAACAAGGTGAATGCAGAAGCACATATGAGAATCCAGTTGTCTTGCATTCAGCAGACATTAGTGAGATTTGAAAATGTAAAACAATGCCAATCTTCTCACAACTATTTTTTTGTTTTGGAAAATAAAGCTGTTTTTCCTGAAATTGTTATTTTTGTTAGCATGCAATGAGTTTTTATTGTTTTTAAAATAAGTTAACAAATACTTAGTTTTAAATATCCTCAGTGTTAATTTCTAATACAGTCAATATTAATAGATGTAACCAGCAAAAACAAAAAAAGTCTTCAATAATTTAAGAATGAAAGGGGCCCCAAGATCAGTGTGTTTGCTCACTTATGAACACACCCTGAATATATTTCCAAGTCAGTATCTACCTACAATATTTTTAACAGCTGCAGAAATTTCTATATGTAGATGTAATATAATTTATTTTATCAATGCCCTGTTTCTATTTTTCTACTATTCTTCTAAATAGGCATTTAGTTGCATTCTTGTAATCATTCATGATTGATTCTTAAGGCTCAATTGTCAAAAAGAAATGTAATAATTATTTGGACAAAGGACCAAATTCTAGAGACATTTAGTCACATTTCCTCTTACAGGTCAGAGAGTCTAAGGACCTGCTTAAGATCAGCTAGCTAGTAAGGAGGCGATTTGCTTTCAAATTCAGATAGCAGATTCTCACAAACCTGAGTCCAAAACGCTGTATTTTAATCTATTGTACCTATTTTTATGTTAATCCACATATATCAAACAGATAAATGAACAAATAAATTAGCATTATGTCAATCTGTTAAGGTTGCTCATCTTAACAAACTGCTGTCAGATCAGCTTAGTTCTGAAGCTGAATAAATAAATATGTAGCTACACTTTAGCTCACACACCACATGCATGTTCATTAAACTTCTTTGGGGATTCAGGAGATTTTAAAATGCCCAGAAGATAGTCCAGGCAACCTGATGGATAGAATCTTGTTTTCTGCTGGTGCCCAGCCAAGGTTGGCATGTAGATGCTCCCTGGAAGAGCTGAGCCAGGCCCGTCCTGCCCAGCAGCTTAATGCCTGTCTTTGGGAAGCAGCCTCATCTGACTAGCTTTTATAAATTATCTAGGAACAGAAATACTTATCATGGAGTTAACAGCACCTGAGACCTGGAGGCACTCACTGATAACGTTTACTCAATAAAAAGATTGTCTAGTCACACAGATAGGCTTTCAGTGATATGAAAAGACCGGGTGAATGACTCTGGTAAGTGAGCTGTTGGAAACGAAACTGAGACAGGGTTCCTCAGGGGTGTGGGATTCAAAGCAGAAGGGGAAACATGGTGAGTGAACCACCTCTGAATGCACAAGCCAGTAAAATGCACACACATATATACACACACACACAGAACCCCATTCTATAACTGGCGGGGATCAATTGAGGATCATTCAAAGGAATGAATATATGCCACAAATCGGTTTACGTAGAAGAGTCAGAATAGACCCTAAATCCTAGGAAAGCCTATTTAGAACAACAAACTGGATTTAATATTTTAATCGGCTTGGAGGATCTTCGTTCACAAGTGGCCAAAGGAAGCCACCAGGTTGAGGGAAGGAGCATGGGAAGCAGAGCCCTGCCTGGTGCTTCAGAGCAGGGTGGGGGCAGTGAGTCTATTCCACAACTAAGTCCCTGCGAGAAATTGTGTGCGAAGAGACTAAACTTAGCCTTGAGCTTTGTCAATCAAGAGCTCTATGAAATCACTTCTGGCTATGGACAGTGGACGAACTATAGGACGTGTTGAAGCTGTTTGTTTTCAAGAATATCTTTAAACAAGGCAAGGGATCCACCTTTTAAAAACAAATGGCTGGGCTTCCCTGGTGGCTTGGTGGTAAAGAATCTGCCTGCCAGTGCAGGAGACACGGTTTCTATCCCTGGTGCAGGAAGATCCCATACACTGAGGAGCAACTGAGCCCATGCGCCACAACATTGAGCCTGTGTTCTAGAGCCCCAGAACCGTAACTACTGAAGCCTGGGTGCTCTAGAGCCTGTGCTCCAAAACAGGACAAGCCGCTGCAGTGAGAAGCACAACTAGAGAGAAGCCCTCCTTGCCGCAACTACAGAAAAGCCCACACAGCAACGATGACCCAGCACAGCCAAAAACAAAAATAGTTTTTTAAAAATCCAAAACAAAGGGCCACTACTTCAGGGATCAAGTAGGAAGGGGTCCCTGCTTCCCTGTTGCCTGACAGAGCCCTTGTCAAGGCGGAGAGCACAGGCTTACCCTGCCGATGGTGGTCTTGTAGGCTGTCCGGATTTCCTGGCGCTGGGCCGTGCTGCGATAGGCCAGGACGTTGATGATGGCATCTTCATCTGTGCCTGGTGGAGAGGAGACAGGGAGGGAGTGCGATTTGAGCAAGGAATGAGAAAGTGGGTTCCTCTGCGGACACTGGCATAACCTAACACACAGAGAGAGCTTTCTAAGCAAAGAAGTTCTTATTCGGAGTGTTTGTCTATTTTGAAGGGAAACAGACACTAGATTTAGTTATATGTTGTTGTTTTTTAGTTGCAAAGTCATGTCCAACTCTTTCACGACCTTATGCACTGTAGCCCGCCAGGCTTCTCTGTCCAAGGAATTTTCCAGGCAAGAATACTGGAGTGGGTTGCCATTTCCTCCTCCAGGGGATCTTTCTGACCCAGGGATCAATCCCTTGTCTCTTGCATCTCCTGCACTGGCAGGTGGATTCTTTACCACTGAACCACCAGGGAAGCCCCACTAGTTATTTACCACTAGATAAAAGAGTCGAGGTCTCTGAGCAATAGTTTCCTTATCTACAAACGTGCATGATCACAGTACTTTCCTACTAGGGCTGCTGCAAGTGTTAAATAAAACAAATTAGTGCATTACTTAGCACAATGCCCAGTACTTGCTAAATAGTCAGTACATGTTGACCAGGATCACCCGTTTCCCCTTCTCTGGAATTCTTCTCAGAGTCTTTGGATCACCCATATTTATCATCCATGTTCTTACCTTTCGCTCCTCACTTCGCTCTCTTTATTATCGCCTCTGAGTTTTGAGACAGTTCAAATTAATTTTCAAAATTCACCATTTGGCACTTCATAGGGTTTAAATTGGCGGCTGATAGTATCTACTTCTTTTTAAGATCTGTAACTGTGTTTTTCTTTTCCAAGCTCTCTTTCCTGATCTCTGATTAGAAAACTATTTAACTTTATTAAAAGTTTTCATTTGAGTGACTCTTATGGTAGACTATTTCTTAGCTTTTGGAAATGTTCACAACAAATAAAAATAGAATTTTGTGTTATTTCCTAAAAAAAAAAAAAAAGCCATTTTGTTGTTGCAAATGTCACAGTGTGTGTGTGCGCTCAGTTGTTCAGTCATGTCCGACTCTTTGTGACCCCATGGACTGTAGCCTGTCAGGGTCCTCTGTCCATGGGATTTTCTAGGCAAGAATACTGGAGTGGGTTGCCATTTCCTCCTCCAAGAAATCTTCTCGACCCAGGGATCAAACCCTCGTCTCTTGCATCTCCTGCATTGGCAGGCAAATTCTTTACCACTGAGCCACCTGGGAAGCCCTGTGTAAATGTTATAGAAACCAACTCATTTTCCTTTTTTTTTTTTTTTACACATATGTACATTTCAAAAATTATTCTTTTCCATTATGGTTTATCACAGGATATTCAATATAGTTCTCTATGTTATACATTAGGGCCTTGCTGTTTATCCATTCTGAATGCAATACTTTTTTGCATCTACCAACCCCAAACTTCCAATCCATCTCTCCCTGCCTCCTCCTTGGCAACCACAAGTCTGTTCTCTGTCTTCAAGTATGTTTTGTAGATAGGTTCATTCGTGCCATATTTTAGATTCCACATATAACTGATATATTACTTGTCTTTCTCTTTCTGACTTATTTCACTTAGTTAATTTCCAGTTGCATCCATGTTGCTGCAAATTTTGTTCATTTTATGGCTGAGCAATATTCCACCGTATATATGTACTGCATCTTCTTTATTGATGTGAAACCTTTTACAACCGCCCATGAATTCCCATGATGCATTATCCTACCAAACTTTTTCATTATGAATTCAAATTTAAAATGTCATAAATTTTGTTTGTTTTTTTGCAGCAGCTTTTACAGAAAGACTTTATTCTGATCCTTCAAATTGGCCCCTCATCTTAGTCACACCTGGATGTTCATATATGTTGGGTGAGTATTCAATTTTTTATTGTTTATACTATATGGGGAGTTGTGATGAGTTACAGAGGAGAGTCTATTTAAATATTTCATGGAGAAATGGAAAATACATACATTCTTTGCAAAATTAGAGATTTACAAAAATGTGAGGTGTAGAGAGGAAGCTATAGAATTTTAAGTTGACATACCTTAGGAATCTACTCTCTGTTCTTTTCTTTTTAAACAAAGAGGATAATAGATAGAACCTCAGATATGCAGATAATACCACCCTTATGGCAGAAAGTGAAGAAGAACTTAAGAGCCTCTTGATGAAAGTGAAAGAGGAAAGTGAAAAAGTCGGCTTAAAACTCAACATTCAGAAAACTAAGATCATGGCATCTGGTCCCATCACTTCATGGGAAATGAGGAAACAATGAAAACAGTGACAGACTTTATTTTTGGGGGTTCTAAAATCATTGCAGATGGTGACCGCAGCCATGAAATTAAAAGGTGCTTACTCCTTGGAAGAAAAGCTATGATCAACCTAGATAGCATATTAAAAAGCAAAGACATTACTTCGCCAACAAAGGTCCATCTAGTCAAAGCTCTGGTTTTTCCAGTAGTCATGTATGGATGTGAGAGTTGGACTATAAAGAAACCTGAGTGCTGAAAAATTGATGTTTTTGAATTGTGGTGTTGGAGAAGACTCTTGAAAGTCCCTTGGATTGCAAGGAGATCCAACTAGTCAATCCTCAAGGAAATCAGTCCTGAATATTCATTGGAAGGACTGATGCTGAAGCTGAAATTCCAATACTTTGGCCACCTGATGTGAAGAACTGACTCAGTGTAAAAGACCCTGATGCTGGGAAAGATTGAAGGCGGGAGGAGAAGAGGATGAGATGGTTGGATGGCATCATTGACTTGATGGACATGAGTCTGAGTAAGCTCCAGGAGTTGGTGATGGACAGGGAAGCCTGGTGTGCTGCAGTCCATGGGGTCGCAAAGAGTCAGTCACGACTGAACTGAACTGAATAGATACAACCATCCTTTTTCCAGAACTTTCTTTCAGCTGAGGGGAGAAAGTTCATCACCTTTTGTTTTTTTACCCCATTTCTGTGAAAGGCACCACTCTTCTTCTGGTCTGTTAGACTTGAACCCTCAAAATAACTTTGATTGTTTAAACTGCTCTCTTTCTTCACATTCAGAGTTCTTGAATATGCAAAGTCTACTCTAAAATCCTTTTTGCATCTGTCCCTTCTTTTTAATTCCTACCACGACCACTCCAGCTCAAGATTTCTTCTTAGATAACTATAAAGTTTACCACTAGTAGTCTTACCTCCTAATTGGTCTTTCCAAAGTCCTGCCAGATTCATTTTCCTAAAAGGAGAAATTCTCACAGTGTCTTTCCTCTGCTTAGGATACATGATGGCTCCCCACCATCTGTTGGATTTAGTACCAGCACTGGAGTCTGGCCTTTGGGACCCTCAATAGCACCCCATTCACTATTGTAAACATCCACATAAAAGGATACAGGCAGCCAAATCCAGAGACTTTGCTCTTGAATTCCTGTACTTGACCTGACTATACTGTACTCTGTTCTCCTAACCTCCTTACTATACCAATCTATGGGTTATTGTCTCCCTAACGCCTTCCATCTAGCATCCTGATTCTGGAATTTGTTGTTTGCTGGACTATGCCTCTGGGTCAGCCTCCATGTCAGCAGTACCCTAGGACCCCTCTATGGCTCCTGCCTTCCTGGAAGTCTCCTAATCAGCCAACACCTATTTTGCCAGTACATTCCTGCCGCAGGCCATGTATTTATCTTGACTCCCGGAGGCCTCAGCTAAAATGCAAAACAGGGCGATGCTCACTTTCATCCCATGCGTTGCTCACGCTGCTCCATTCACCTGAAACACATTCTCTCTGTCTATTTATTGAATAAACTCATCTCCCAAGGCCCATCTCAATTTCTATATCCTCCAAGAAGTTTTGCCTGATGCCCCTAAATGAAATGTGATCCCTCTAACTCCTAATGGGATCTTGTGCCCCTCCATCCTTATCATATTACTAACTGATCACATTTCCATGAATGCCTTTGCCGCTGAGCATCCCTGGATGATTGGACCACAGGATTAGGTTTATGGTCCTTGTCTCCTCTGACTGTCTTTCTCTCATTGGCCCACACAGCAGGCACTGAAAACGGTTGGTGGTATCGAATGCCTTCTGACTCTGAGAATTACAAATGCCATGTGGTCTGTGTTCCAAATTACACTGCTCTTGCTATCCACCAAAGAATTAGGATACACCGGAAAAATGAGTAGGCCAAGTACTTTTTCCATTTTATTTATGAAAAGGGGAAAATGAGAAGATAGATTCAAGGCAATGTCCTATTCAGAGATAGGCAGCAGGATAGTACAGAGGCTTACCCTCCAGTTCTAGAGTCAGAATGCCTGGACTTGCCTAGAATCCTGACTCTAACAAACACATCCTGCCCCAGAGACCTTGGGCAAGTTAGCTGATCTCAGTAAACCTCAACTTTCTCATTAATAAAACAAGCTGCTCTCAAAATTAAAACATAATCTATGCAACACATTGTGCCTGACACATAGTAGAGCTTAATAATGGTTATTGTTGCTGCTAGTTGTATTGGGGCTGAGCAAGATGAATTCTTTGTGGATAGAAAAACTGGGAAATAATGCCTCATGGTCAAATGTCTTTATCCAAATCTTAAGGAGATTTTAAATAGCAGGTATGAAACAGAGAGCACTTCTCAGGCCAAATGTCCACTCAGGCAAGTCTGGAGGGAGGCTCTAGGTCAGTGGAACCCCAAGTGCCCAGGCATGGTTATGTCCAACTGGAGGGAGGTCTTGGCCCTGGGGAGCTCCCAGAGTTTGGTGCACTGGAAGACAAGCCCTTCTGGTCACATACACACAACTTTCTCACATAAAGTCGTACACACTGCCCGGGGGCACTGTCTTAGCCACAGCTGTCACGGGAGCAAAGAACAGGGGTCTGACTCAAGGGAAAGAATGTGTACTTAAGAGTTGGCAGGCCCCAGCTTAAGAAGCGCTCTTTGAGCGTGACTCAAGGCTCAGCTCCACTTACTCTGTATCTTATTACATAAATTCTCTGAGTCTCAGTTTCCCATCTGTAAAATGGGGCAAGAATAACAACTGCACCAGCTGCTCTCATTGTATCCCGGGATTATGGTATCTACCCATTCACACAATATTTGTCAAAATGCTTTGTTAACCTTCTGGTACAACATGCATGCCTGGGTTAACTAGAAGACAAATATATTTCTCAAATTTGATAGATTTATAATGCTGGAATGAAATTAATTGGGGAAGTCCAGAATGAGTTCATCACATTTAAAAGTTTATAGTGAAAAAACCTCCCTTCCAGTTTGCCTTGAAATGTCACCTTGTCCCCACCGTGTTTTCTTAGAGTGAGACATAGATTTGCTTGTGGACACAACGCCCTCTGGGCAACTCTGGGATGCGGGACACACGGGATGTTCACCGCCAGTGGGACACTTACCGAGCCCTTTCATGGCCTTCCTCAGGGTCTGGGCATCTTCGGCGGCGTTGAAGCCTGAAGTGGCTTTGACAGTGCCTCCCTTGGCTGCCTGATGCACAGAGAAAGACAGAAAGGTGTGACCAAGAGGCGCCTTCCTGCCAGCACGGTGGCAACTCGCACAACAAACGTTTGTTGAGTACCCACCAGGGGCCAGACACTTGTCCAGGGGCGGGGACACAGCAGTGACTGGGAGAGATGAGGCTCTTGTTCCCTTGTGGCTGATGTTCAAGTTCAGCCAGAGGTAGACAGTAAAGAAGCCAATAAACAAATATTCCACCAGGAAGCCGGAGGTGAAAAGGGCTACAGGGCAGAGAGAGGTCATGAGGGGCTGCCCCGAGGAGTGGCATTCAGGCTGAGGTCTGACTGCAGGAAGCAACTGACCCTGCAGAGATCTGGAGGAAAGTGTTGCAGGCAGAGGTAACAGCTGAGGCAATGGCCCTGAGGCTGGAGTTGGCTTCTGAGGGACAAGTGGGAACAGAGGTCAGTGGGACTCGACTTGGAGGGCAAGCTGGGGAGGGGTAAGGTAAGTGACACCATTACCTTTGAAGTAACCTTGTCTCCCCAGAAAGTGGGAAATCAAACCTGAATCCAATCAAACCTCTTAGGTCAAACACCAATTTATGATAAAGAAGAGAAGGAGGAAAATGTTAGCCCAAACAACAGGGCTGTCATCAGCACAATCCAGGCTATGAGAAACACTACTTGATGAATGCTCTAGGTTCTTTAACAAATTGCCAGAAGAATTAGAAAAGAGAGAAATGGAGGGGAAATAGAACTTGAAAGAGATTAAAAATGCACTTCAATAATCATAATGGGTAAACCTTATTGGGATCCTGAATCAAATAGTAAAAAAAAAAAAAGAAATGACATTTATGAGGCAACTGGAAAATTTTTTTTAAGTAAGCTGGATGCTTTTATATTATTTGCCTACTTGAATTTGTTCCTTTTTCATAACGGCACTTAGGGTATCAAATTTAGACCACTTTGCTCCTTTTCCAAGAAAGGGAGGGAAATAGATACCACCTTACATAAAAGTGGGGTGATAATGCAGAGGGGCAGTTGGTTCCAGAGGCCTTAGTTCCAATGCTGCCAACCACACGTAACAGAACCTGCTGCTGCTGCTGTTCGGCTACTCTGCTGTGACTCTTTGTGACTCCATGGACCGCAGCCCGCCAGGCTCCTCTGTCCGTGGGGTTTCCCAGGCAAGAGCAGTGGAGTGGGTTGCCATTCCCTTCTCCAGGGAATTTTCCTGACCCAGGGATTGAACCCATGTCTCCTGCACTGGCAGGAGGATTCTTTACCACTGAGCCACCTGGGAAGCCCTGAACATGGACTTGATATTTGATGCCATTAAGCAACTCACGTTAACATTTTTAGGTATGATAATGTCTTTGTGCTTATATTCTATTTTTTGGGGAGTCGAATCTTATACACATTGAAAGAGTTTACAGATGAGAGGATAAGGTGATTGGAATTTGCTGCAAAATTACAGATTAGGGGAAGTGGAGACACAGAAGAAACAGGTTGACCATGGATGAATAGTAATAATAATATAATATTATTAACATATATGAGTTATGATTATATAATAATTATTGACCATGAGTTAATAATAATTATAGGTACAAAGGGGTTCTTTTTACTATTTGATCTGCTTTTGTATGTGTTTACGCTTTTCCATAATAAAATAAGAGACATGACGAGGGCAGAATGAGAGCCTTCACAAGCTGGTGAGAAGCGAAAGGTGTTAGTGGCTCAGCTGTGTCTAACTCTTTGTGACTCCATGGATGGTAGCTCAGCAGGTTCCTCTGTCCATGGATTTTCCAGACAGGAATACTAGAGTGGGTTGCCATTTCCTTCTCCAGGGGATCTTCCTGATCCAGGGATTAAACCCGGGTGTTCTGCCCTGCAGACAGACTCTTTACCATCTGAGCTACGAAGGGAGCACACAAGTTGGTGAGGATTTTCTATTTTATTCTAAATATGTTATGAGCCACTGGCAGGTCTGATTTACACATTTGAAAGATCACTTGGGCTACTGTATGGAGATACAGAGATCAGTTTAGAATCTGGGCCAAGATCCAGGGATGTGATGGTAAACGAGGGTGAAATAGCAAAAATGGACACAGACTCAGCACATGTTTTGGAGGAAAGGAGGCAGAACTTGATGATGGATTGATGTGGGAGGTGAGGAAAGAAAAGCAGCAAGTGTAACTCTAAATCATTTCCTTAAGCAGCCAAGTAGAGAGTGGTATCATTTATGTAGATGGGGAAAGCTGGAGACTACCAGATTTGAGATGGCACTGAGGAGAGGGATTTAGAAGTTCTATTTTCAAAACGTTAAGTTTGGGATGTTCGTTAAACATCCAAGTAGAGTCTAGAAAATGGTCGGTTGTACAATGTACATCTAGAGAGCAAGTCTCCAGTAATACACTCAGGACACATCAGCGTTTGGATGGTAGCGGACAAAATGACCTGGGGAGAAACTGAAGAACAGGGGTCCTAGGACAAGCCTAGACCTCTCTAGCGGCATAGGGTTAGCAGAGAAGGACCCGAATGGATGGCCAAGAAGGACTGGCCCTTGAGGGGCCAACAAAAGGAAAACCAGGACTGTGTGTTGTCCAGAGGCTGAGGAAGGAGGGCGCGGTCAATGCCTGCTAAGGCAGGTATGAACAGAGGGCACAGAAAGGATGGTCAGGTCTGCGAACATGGAAGGTCCTGGTGACCCTGACAAGAGCTTCCGCAGAGGAATGGAGGAGACAAAAGCCGGACAGCGTGGCAGAGGGAAGGAGGGGGCATCATGAGGAGGAGATAGCAGCTCTAGATACCGAAGGTGAGGACTAGCATCACCAGAAACCAGCATGCCTTAAAGTGAGACACACTCTGATGTGTACGAGGGATAAAAAGTTAGTAGAGACTAGTAGATTCTGCAAATACAGGCTAAAAACTAAAAACGTCAACAAGCAAAACATGGGGTAGTGACCAGTAGGAACCATTTAATTGAATTCTGTCTTAGAGATGATGTACTGATTAAGATCAAGGTGCCCCAAGTACTTCTAATGTATTTACTAAATTATTAATGCTATTTTAAAATTGATGTTATTTATAAGGGCTTCCCAGATGGCACTATCGGTAAAGATCTTGCCTACCTATCAATGCAGGAGACATAAGAGATGCAGGTTCAATCCCTAGGTTGGGAAGATTCCCTGGAGGAGGAAATGGCAACCCACTCCAGTATTCTTGCCTGGGGAATCTCACAGAAAAGCCTGGTGGGCTATAGTCCATGGGGGTCAAAAAGGGTCAGATATGACTGAAGTGACTTAGCATAATGTATGTCAGGCGGCATAGAGAAATACATACGATTCAATATAAAATAGATGAAAAAAATCAGTGAACGAACAAACCATAGAAAATTACGGTAAGTTGAGTTCAATTCAGTCACTCAGTCATGTCCCACTCTTTGCGAGCCCATGGACTAGAGCATGCCAGGCTTCCCTGTCCAGCACCAACTCTCAGAGCTTGCTCAAACTCATGTCCATTGAGTCGGTGATGCCATCCAACCATCTCATCCTCTGTCGTCCCCGTCTCCTTCCACTGTCAATCTTTTTCAGCATCAGGATCTTTTCTAATAAGTGGCTTCTTTGCATCGGTGGCCAAGTATTGGAATTTCAGCTTCAGCATCAGTCCTTCCAATGAATATTCAGGACTGATTTCCTTGAGGATTGACTGGTTGGATCTCCTTGCAGTCCAAGGGACTCTCAAGAGTCTTCTCCAACACCACAATTCAAAAACATCAATTTTCCAGTGCTCAGGTTTCTTTATAGTCCAACTCTCACATCCATACATGACTACTGGAAAAACCATAGCTTTGACTAGACAGACCTTTGTTGGCAAAGTAACATCTCTGCTTTTTAATATGTTATCTAGGTTGATCATAGCTTTTCTTCCAAGGAGTAAGCACCTTTTAATTTCATGGCTGCGGTCACCATCTGCAGTGATTTTGGAACCCCAAAAATAAAATCTGTCACTGTTTCCATTGTTTCCCCATATATTTCCCATGAAGTGATGGGACCAGATGCCATGATCTTAGTTTTCTGAATGTTGAGTTTCAAGCCAACTTTTTCACTTACCTCTTTCACTTTCATCAAGAGGCTCTTAAGTTCTTCTTTGCTTTCTGCCGTAAGTGTGGTGTCATCTGCATATCTGAGGTGATTGATATTTCTCCTGGCAATCTTGATTCCAGCTTGTGCTTCATCTAGCCCAGTGTTTCTCATGATGTACTCTGCATAGAAGTTAAAAAGCAGGGTGACAAAATACAGCCTTGACATACTCCTTTTCCGATTTGGAACCAGTCTGTTGTTCCATGTCCAGTTCTAACTGTTGCTTCCTGACCTGCATACAGATTTCTCAAGAGGCAGGTCAGGTGATCTGGCATTCCTATCTCTTTCAGAATTTTCCAGTCTGTTGTGATGCACACACTCAAAGGCTTTGACATAATCAATAAAGCAGAAATAGATGTTTTTCTGGAACTCTCTTGCTTTTTTGAGGAAACAGTGGATGTAGGAAATTTGATCTGTGTTTCCTCTGCCTTTTCTAAAACCAGTTTGAACATCTGGAAGTTCACAGTTCACATATTGCTGAAGCCTGGTTTGGAGAATTTTGAGCATTACTTTACTAGCGTGTGAAATGAGTGCAATTATGTGGTAGTTTGAACATTCTTTGGCATTGCCTTTCTTTGGGATTGGAATGAAAACTGACCTTTTCAGTCCTGTGGCCACTACTGAGTTTTCCAAATTTGCTGGCATATTGAATGCAACACTTTCACAGCATCATCTTTTAGGATTTGAAATAGCTCAACTGGAATTCCATCACCTCCACTAGCTTTGTTCTTAGTGATGCTTCCTAAGGCCCACTTGACTTTGCATTCCAAGATATCTGGCTCTAGGTGATTGATCACACCATCGTGATTATCTGGGTCACGAAGATCTTTTTTGTATAGTTCTTCTGTGTATTCTTGCCACCTCTTCTTAATATCTTCTGCTTCTGTTA